ACAATTACTCTGGACTGACTGCCGAGGCAGAGGGGGGTCCTCCCCACTGCAGACCCTGGTACCCAGGTCCACACACCGGGGAGAGGAGGCTGAAGGGCTCAGGGCAGGATGAAGAGGTGCAGAGGGGGTGAGTCTCACAAGACTCTCCCCTGAGGGGTATCCGTAGCGGGAAGGGGCCTTAGGACCACACGGCACACACAGAGGCTGGAACGGGCAAACCCAATCCACACGGACAGGAAGCTGCGGGGCTGCCGGGGCAGGGCCCTGGAGAGGCTGGCGGCAAAGGGGATGAGGGGACATGTAAGGCGATGCAACCGTCTACATCTTGATGGAGTGGGGGTTACATGGGTGCACGTACTTGTCAAAACCCACCTAACTGCCCTTAAAATGAATACATTTTCTTGAATGTAAATTATACCTCAATTCAGATTTTAGAAGTTAAAAAACAAACCCCTAAGAGCTCAGGGAAGAGAGTTCCATGCTTTAGTAGTAACTTAGGAGGCAGGAAAGATAGCAATATATCCCAGAGGACTGTATTCACCCTGCGATCGTACGCTAAATCCAAGAGGCCTGCAGGCCCCGCCTGCCTCCACCTCCCCACCAAGCCCAGAATTTCCGAGTCAGGCAGACAAGGACCCCATCACACCTGACTCAGGGGATGTAACTTAGAGTTCTGATGCTCCCTCAGAACTACTTAGTAACATCCTATCTTCGGCGGGGATTTGTGGAGGGGGGTAGGGGCAGGGGGGCAGGTCCTACCCTTGGCTCTTGGAGTACACTTAGCCCATTGCGTTCTCCTGACAAAGGGCGGGTGAGGGGATCTGAGGGCCATGTGAGGGGAGAGCTGCAAAGAGCTCAAGGCCCCGGACTGAGGCAGCTGTCGCCATGGTCCATGCAGGCTTCCAGCCCTCGGGCCTCCTGGCCAACCTGCAAACCATTTGCACAATGTCCCCTCGAGGCTTGTTTTTCAGGAGGTGAAGTATTCTGACTCAAATCCTGACAGGTCCCCGTTCTGTTTTCCTTTCCCTCCACACAGTCCATCTCAGGCCTGTGGACTACAGAGTCTGCCCACTCCTGCTCTAACCTGGAGGCGGAAGGAATGGGGAGGCTGGGGCCACCCTCTTCCCGTCACGGTGCACAGCCAGGGGATGGGACAGAGGAGGAAGGGACGTGAGCAGGACGCTTGGATTTGCTCGGCGGGAAAGCCAGCATTCAAGGTGCCTGCACTCACATCCGCTCCCCAGCCCACTTTCTTCCAGAAGCTGCACTCAATCTCTGCCTCTCCCCCTTAATCAAAGGGCAACCGGAGGCAAGTCACCATCTTCATCATTCCCCTCTACAGACGGACGGGACTTCAGCATCTGCCTCACCAGGTCACGGAAGGGATGAGGAGGACATCCATCCATCCCCAGCACAGGGCAGTGACGGGGGACAGACAGAAAGCAGAAGCCATCCTCCTCCACCCCCCCATTCTGACCCTGCCCACCCAGAGCAATGTGGGAAAGTGATAATAGACGTGGGCTGACCCCACACCGGGCCCGCCTTTAGCTTCCAGTGCCGGGGGAACATGCAGTGTTCGCACGGGAATGAGAATGTGGCCTCCAAGTCTTTCCAAATGTCAACAGATGTTTGCTTTCGGCACCAAGTGTCCCGGATTTCCGAAACGATGAACTGGATGGTGGGACTGGGCCAAGGCAGAGGTGGGAAGGGGAGAGGGGTGCTGGCAGGGAAAGGGGAGCCCTGGGCACGTGCAGTCAGGAGGAGGAGCCGAAGGCGGGAAGAGAGAGGTGGACATAGGATGGTGGGTTAGAAATGCAGGTCCCTGGGAGGCCGTCACGGGTGGAATCAGCCGTGATTCGATCCTCAGGCCCCCAAAGAGCTGGACACCAGCTGAGCCATGTCCCATGAAGTCAGAAATGAGGCATAAGCTGGCAGAGGGCTCTCACCTCCAGGGGCCAGAACTAAACGGGGTGGAGGGCAGCCAGGGAGCAAAGCCCTACACCTGGAGCATCTCCCCGACTGGCTCTTGCAGCGGCCAATGAGGGTGGCAGCAGGAGCAGCCAGGGGACTGCTGGGGGGTTAACCTGTCCCCAGAGGAGCAGCAGGAAACAGAACGACTGGCATACATGCAAGGCTGGGCCTGGCGTGGGACAGCGTAGGACCCTGGAGGGTGAGGGGAGGGAGTTGGTAGCAGAGAGACCCAAATGGCCACATGACCTCCTGTGCTAAATGGTTTCACAGATGAGTTTATTTATCTTCCAAAAGTCCAAGAGGCAGGCGCTATTATTATCACACTCGGCAGACGAGGAAACTGGGAGTCACGGCTCAGGGTGGAACTGGGACTGGAACCAGGCAGCATGGCTCCACACCCACACGTCTGGCACTCCACCACCCGCTCCGAGCTGCACTCACCCATCGCTGCAGCAAGTCGCACAAGTACACACACATGCACACATAAGTACATGCACACACACACAAACACGCATACAAACACACATGCACACACAAACACACATGCACACACACTGCCCCATTCTTCCCCAAGGCTGAGGACTTCCTGGATGAAGGAGACATATCTGACGGGAGGGAGAAAGCAAAACTCCACTAATCCCAGGCTGCCTGGAACTCCCTGGGGGTTCCCTCCAGCTCCCGGCCTTCCCCACCCCAAATCTCAGCAGTTGGTGGGCCTTGAAGCTGCTGGTGGTTAATCCACAGCATCTCTGTGGACAGGCCACTGAGAGGAAATCCCTCGAGTGGTCGCCCACGCGTAGTCCAGCAAAAAGGCTGGACGCTTCTGAACGGTCTCTGAGGAAGAAGGCCCGCTGACTACCCAAGTCTGTCTTGCATCGGACCTCACTCCTGTGCCCACCAGAACCATGTATGTTGCTGCCTTCAACCAGGAGGCCACACGACATAACGGTGCCAGGAGAGCCTGAGCCGGTTTGGCTCAGTGGATAGAGTGTCAGCCTGTGGACTAAAGGGTCCTGGGTTCGATTCCAGCCATGGGCATGTGCTTCACTTGCAGGCTTGATCCCCTGGAGGCAGCCAATCGATGCATCTTGCTCATCATTGAAGTTTCTCTCTCTCTCTCCCTTCCTCTCTAAAATGAATAAAAATATATGAATAAAAAGGGGAAGGGGGCTCCAGGAGACCAGGCCCTGGGGCCAGGGGGAACCTGGCTGGGTCTGACTGTGCTGGTTAACTTCCTGGGGCTCAGTTTTATGGACTCAGGAAGGAGGACGACACCGGTTGTCGGGAGAGTTACCTGAGAGGACCAACGTCAAGGGCTCGGAGCACTGACTGTTTGAGGAACCTCCAAGTGGACAGTCGCCACTGTGACAGCTGTTGATGGGGTTCCCATCGCTGGGAAGGCCACCTTCCTCCCGGGACACCAGGAGCGGACAGCCTCGGAGAGGGGAGTGCCCATGCAGGACGCGGCCTGCCTGCCTGCCCGATGAGGAAGGCCTTGTCACTGAACCTCCTCCAGCAGCGGGCACCCAGGAAACCTAGCCAGTGGGATCTCTGAAAGGCTGGTGGAGAATGCTGGGTCGCTCCTCCAGGCCAGGTGCCTGGACGGGTGGAGTCGGTTGGGTAAACCACACCCCACCCTGTCTCCAGCTGTTTCAGCAGTTCCTACACCCTCTCTAAGCAAGTGGAAGAGACCCAGCCCAGCATGGCCATCTCAGACACAGTGCTCTCAGGAGCATGCGGATGCTTCCAATAGTCACTGCTCCTTCAGACTGACGGGGTGGGGGTAGGGGTGGGGGTGGGGGTGGGGGCCACAGCATGCCCAGGAGTGGAGGGCCCAAGAGGGGCTACACGGCTTGCAGAGCCTCCTCCTCAGCCCACCGCCAAGGCCAGGCCCGGCGGGCAGTGCCGGGGTGCCTGCCAAGGAAGCTGCACTGTCTGCTCCGGGCACAGGGGGGCAGGGGCAGCCCCGAGTCCCTGGCACTCTGTCCGGGGTGGGGGTGGGCGGTTCTGGCCTGCCTTTGGGATGGCTGTCCTCTTCTGGTCTGAGCCAAGGGATGCGGTGTCCCTCCCATAACCTAGAATCAGCCCGTTCTGGCACCCACGCAGCCCCGAGCCTTCCTGGGTGAAGCAGGGTAACTGGATCGTCAATCCAACCCAAAACTTAAAGTCACAGGTCCCACTTCTGCCCAGGACAGACTGTCCCAGCCACTGGCCTCCGTCCCCTCCCAGCTCCCAGCCAAGTCAGCGCACATCTTAGACAGAGTCGCCTCAGGCCCAGGGTTTCCTGACTCAGGGCAGAGCTGGGCCAGAGCCACTTGCAAAGGTCAAAGCGGGCAGCGCCAGCTCCTGACGGAGCCAGGAGATGTTGGCCCTGGCTTTCTCCTTGCTCTGGCTCCGCTCTAAGTGACAGACAACCAAGGCTCCCTTGAATCCGGAACCTGCTCTTTATCCCTAGAAGCCAGCCGAGAGTAAAAGGACCTGTTCTCATTTCTTCCCAGTCGGGAGTTCTAGATTCCGAGAGCCAGAGAGACACAGATGGAGAGGGCTGGCCGGGCTGCAGAGAGGGCCGGTTTGGGATGTTGGAGATAAGAGCAACATCCAAGGGCTGAGCAAACATAACAGCTGAAGGAGAGGAAGGGAGAGGCTCAGCGTTCACTGGACACGTCGCAGAGTTAACGTGGCCTTGGCAAGGAGATGCACAGCCTTGAACTCTCCCTCTGCCAGAACGCTCTTCAGCGTCTCACTTCCCCAGATGCCTCCATGCCTCGGACCGGAGCTCCCCTGCCCACCATACCCGGGCTTAGAAGCGTGCGGCCTGCCTCTTCGCTTATATCTCAGCGCATTCACTATAATCGCCAGGAAGCATCTTTCGGACCTTGCACACGATTCCAGCAGCGTTAGGAAATGGTGAACAACCTAACCCACGCCACTTCGGAGCTGTTGAAAGCCAAAGCAGAGGGCTCACCTGGAAGGGGGTGGGAGGTGGGGGGACAGAAGGCCAAGAAATAGGACCGCGTCAACCATCCTACCTCTCTCCTAATGGAGTGGTGGTCCAGCTCACGCAGCGTCTTCTCAAGCTCCCTCCATGGGGACAAGCGGGGAGGGAAAGCTAGGCATTTCTGAGACCCCAGGCCATGCAGGGGACAGATGCGGGCCTGAGCCAAACCCCTGGGATGCTGGCCTCCGAGCAAACTCGGCAGCCCCGCCAGACACAGAATCGAAACAGTCCCTGGTCTCCCAGCTCCTCGCCACGCCCACCCGCCACCTCCCCAGCCCTCCGTGGCATACACAGGGCTTTATTATCTCAAGCCCACCACGTCCTCTGAGGGTGCCATGAATGGAACGCCACACAATACCCTTGTTTATTAATAGCCACCCCACTCCGGCTGGCTCACTCACTCACCGCTGGGTCCCCCTCATGCATAATGGAGGAGTTGTACGGCCCATGACACAAGCCAGGCTGTGCTGTGCGGGCTCCGAGGGAACAGACGGAGAGAGGTACCAGGCCGGGCCAGGCTCCTCGAGGCAGGGGGTGGGGTGGGGAGCAGATCTCCCGGTTAAGGTTCGGAGACGTCATGTGTTGAGGGGGAGCAGCGTGGTGTGGGTGGTACCAGCCCTCCCCCATATGCATGCCGTACACAAGCCCAAGCCAGCGATGGCAGCGGGCCGGGTAACATTTACCCCACACCCACCCTGCCCGTCCAAGGCCATGCGCCGGCCCCGAACAGACAACAGCTCTCCACAAGTTCAAATCCAGCCCACTGGCCACCTCTGCTCTAGGGCCTTGGGACTCTTCCACGCGACATGTTTGATTACAGCCTTGACAATGGCTCTCATCCCGCCAGCACTCCGAGTCTTCCTCAGGATACATAACTCCGTCCCCTCTGCTGCATCTCATGGAACTGCTTCCTTTCACTGCACATCCCGTCCCGTCTCCCCTGTGAGAGTCGGGCCTCAGTGGGGCAGGCTCCCCCTCGGTCCTCCTATCCTGTGCTGAGCGTGTGCTCTGATAACATCCTTCCGAAGTCGGAAATACATGGGAAAGTCTGAGCAATGCTGATGCCCTTCGTTCCCTAAGTTCCATTTCTGGGAATAGATATTAAGTAAGTAATCAAAGATAATTATAATATTAAAGTCACACAAATGTTCATCAGAATATTGTTTATAATGGTAAAAAAACAAAACACAAAAAAAAACACAAACCAGAAACAATCTAAACAGCCATCACTGGGGGAAATTATAAATAAACTGTGGCATGCCTGTGGCTTGGCAGACAGGAGAGCGTGGGAAGAAGGGTGCTACAGCCAGATCAACTGGGCTCTGTCACGTGTTGCTGTGTTACCTGGGGCAAGTTACTCAGCCTCTCTGGGCCTCACCCTCCTTATTTGTATCATTGGGATAATAACAAGAATATCAACCTCCATTTACAGAGTCAGTGCCTGACACATATGGTATATGCTAATAAAAAAAAATCTTTGTTTCTGTCATCAGCAATGAAATATTATATCGTTATTAAAATGGTGAAACAATACATAGGAATACTAGCAATATGAAAAGTTATTAAGTAAAAGAAAAAGATCACCACAATAGGACAACCATGGCTATCCTGGGTAGTGACATTACGGATAATTTGCATTCTTTTCATTTTCTACATTTTCTGCAAAGAACAGAAATTACTCGTGCTGGTGAGAACAAGTGTTTGTAGTGTATGGTGCCCAGAGCAGAACGTGATTCCGGCACCGAGCGCAGGCGGCCCTGGCCCGGCCCTCCCCTGAGGAAGCGCACCTTGAGCACCTTTTTAGCATCCCATCACGTCATTGCCTCCTACTGAGTTTCAAGTCAGCCACCCAGCCACCTGGCCCCAGCCCCCTTCACCCCCCTCCTGGCCCTCGCCCAGCCCTTCCCAGGGACTCTTCCGCCATTTCTCTGGCCTCTAATGACCACAGGGCTAGTGCAGCTTGTGAGGGCGTGAGAAGGAGAAAGGCACAACCAGGGTGGAAGGTGCGGCCCAAAGGCTCACAGCTGAAATGGGGGAGTTGGGGGGGGCGTGGCAGGCAGAGGGCAGAGGCAGCCCCTTTTCCCTATCGGCAGGGTATAGAGGGGTTAATAGAGAGACCGGATTTATTCCACGTTGAAGAGGAATACTAGGAAGTAAGATTCTGAGAAAATTAGGCAAGTATCTATAGTGGGGGTGCCCAGTGGCTAGCTACCCCCACATCCCTGTCCCCACCATCCATTGCTTCGGGATGGTTCCCTGGCTCTTCTTATGAAGCAGCCATGCTGGCCACCCCCTCAGACCACCTGCAGGTAACAGCCCCTTTCTTGACCCATGGAGACTGCCCAGTGGCTCTCAGGGGTGGGGTGGGTGGGCAGGCAGAGAGAAGAATGCAGTGGGGCAGAGCGCTGCCAGGGCTTTGGGTGGCTGGAAAGTGGGTCACATTTGCAGAGGGCAGCCCACACCAGCACAGAAGGGCTGGAGCAACAGCTGCGTGCCCGGGGGAGCTCCCTGTGTCCCAGCAGGCAGCCAAGTGGCGCTCCTCACCCACCCCCACGGGGTCACTCCCCTGTCACCCACGGCCCCCTCCTAAGAGGACTGGTAGGCCACGCCCAGCCCACCCGCTCTTCCACACCAGGACAGATTAGCAATAATGACCTGGGGGCCCGTGGGCTCTGCCACATGGCCAGGGACTACCCACGGAATCGAGGGCTCAGGGTGGGGCTGGGCGAGCCTGAGGCCCTCAAACTGTTTGTGAGCCGCTGTGGCAAAGGGTCTGGTCTTGTCTCTGTGTGTATAACCCTCACTTTCTGGAATGGAAAGCAAATTCCAGTGCAACAGGAAACTCGCTGCAGTGAAGGGTTCTGCCTGGAGTGTTTAAATAGAAGCTGGTGGCCAAACCCGGTTTGGCTCAGTGGATAGAGCATCGGTCTGCGGATTGAAAGGTCCCAGGTTCGATTCCGGTCAAGGGCATGTACCTTGGTTGTGGGCACATCCCCAGTAGGGGTGTGCAGGAGGCAGCTGATCGACGTCTCTCTCTCTCTCTCATCAATGTTTCTAACTCTCTATTCTTCTACCTTCCTCTCTTTAAAAAAATCAATAAAAAATATATATTTAAAAAATAAAATAAATAAATAAATAAGTAGAAGCTGGTGAACCTGTCAAAGTTGCTGCTGAAATCCCAGCACTGAGACCCCGGGTCACCTCGGCTGCGAGCAACCGTCCAGAAGCAAGTGGCTCAGAATTGAGTCTGGGAGGAGAATGTGAGGGCCTGGCCTGGGTCTCTGAGACTCTGAATAGCCAAAGCATTCTTGAAAAAGAACAAACAGAGACTCATATTTCCCCATTTCAAAGCCTACCATAAACTAGAGTAGCCTGGGTGTGGTGCTGGCATAAGAACAGGTAAGATCAATGGAATAAATTGGAATCCAGAAATTAACTCACATCTCTATGGCCAATTGATTTTTGACAAGAGTGCAAAGTCTACTCAATGGGGTAAGAATAGTTTCTTCAAAAACGAGGATGGCTGGCTAGATTTACACATGCAGAAGAGTGAGGTTGGCTCCTACCTCACACCACATATAGCAATGAACTCCAAAGGGATCAATCAACTACCTAAATATAAGAGTCCAAACTGTAAGACTCTTAGAAGAAAACTAGAGGTAGATCTTCATGGCCTTGTGTTTGCTAATAGAATCTTAGATGTGGCATCAAAAGTACAAGCAACAGAAGAAAAAAACAGATATTTGGACTTCATTAAAATTTAAAGCTTCTGTGCATCAAAGGGTATTCTCAAGAAAGGGAGAAGACAGCCTGTAGAATGGGGGAAAATATTTGCATATCACACATCTGGGCACAGTTCGCTACACAGAACATAAAAAGAACTTTTAAAACTCAACAACAAAGAAAGATAAGCAAACCAATTTAAAATGGGCAAAGGATTTGAGAGACATTTCTCAAAAAAAAAAAAAAAGACATACAAATGACTAACAGCAAATGAAAGGCTGTTCAATATCACTCGTCATTAGGAAAATGCAAATTAAGCCATAACGAGATGTCAATTTATACCTGCTAGGATAGTTATAATCAGTAAAATGGAAAATAATAGCATTGGAGAGGATGTTGACATATTTGCACGCTCCTACATTGCTGATGGGGATGTAAAAGGGGAAAGCCACCATGGAAAACAATTTGCAGTTCCTCAAAAGTCAAACATAAAATCTTCACATGGTCCAGCAATTCCTTACTCCAAATAACTGGATACAGGGATTCACGTACTTACACACCAGGGCGCATCAAAGCATTTCTCACTGTAGCCAACAGGTGTCCATCATTGGATGAATGGAAAAATAAAATGTGGTCCATCCAAGCAATGAGATATTATTTGGCCACAAAAAAAGGAAGAAGTTCTGATACTTGCTTCATCGATGGACCCTGAAAATATTATGCTAATTGAAATAATCCAGAAACAAAGTCAGACAAATATTGTATGATTCCACTTAGTAGGAACGACCTGGAATAGAATTCATAGACAAAGTAGAACAGAGTTTATCAGAGGTTAGAGGAAACAGGAAATGAGGAGTTACTGCTTAATGTCACAGCTTAGATGTGGGATGACGAAAAGGTTTGGAGATACAATAGTGAAGGTTGCACAACACTATAAATAATGCTAAATGCCACTAAACTACAATATATACTTGAAAGTGTTAAAATGACATTTTTATTTTATATATATATATATATATATATATATATATATATATACACACACACACATACATATACATATACATATATATATATGATGCCCCTTGCAGGAAGATTCTTGCAATAGAGCTTCCTGGTCTCCGCTGCCCCATCAGATTCTCTGCCTTCTCTCTGCCTCGCCTGCTTCCCTTCCTTCTCCAAAGCCCCGCCCCTGCCAGCTTCTCTTCCTTCTCCCCACCCCACCTGCTTCTCTGCCTTCTCCCCTCCCACCTCGCTTGCTTGCTTCTCCACAGCTTTGCTCCCTCCGAAGTGCTCGACTTCTTTCTACAGTCTTTGCTCTGGCTTGGATATGCAAAGTAACCACCATATTGGTTGGGTTAATTTGCATACTCGCCCTGATTGGCTGGTGGGCATGGCGTGTACAGTCAATTTGCATGTTTCTCTTTTATTAAAGAGGATTAGAGGCCCATTGCATGATATTCATGCAAGAATAGGCCTTCCTTTCCCTGGCTTTGC